AAACAACTAATAAAGATTGTAGTTTTTTAGGTAATTATTTTTTAAGAGCTTTATATTAGAAAAACTATCTTTTATATTATTAAAAAATAAAACAGCTCATCGTAAAACTTTGGTTAATAAAGAGAAAGTAAAACTTTCTTATACAGAAAGAAATCTATTTATATTTTTTAAGGTAGGACCCCCTCCTGAGATTAAAAAAAAATCTAAATTCTTTTTATTGTTTTAATTTAATCATTAGTTTGAGAATACGAGAAAAAAGATTCGAAAGCAAAATTCAAAGTCAAAAGTAATCGAGAAAATAAATTTCAACTGTGGCAGACCAAAGTGATTCCGCCTCTTTTGTAATCCGTCCGGATCATGCAGATATACAAAACTATATACTCATCAAAATATAAGTTCTGGATACTATCTATAGATGTCACAACTTGTACTAAAATCTAATCTCAGCAATTTCAGCGTCGGTTTCAGTGTGAGAGCAACACCATTAGTAAACATCAAGAAAACGCACGCTCCACTTTAAACGCATTTTTCGAGACGATGTACATGATAACTCAAAAAATTTTCATCCGATTAACTTCAAATTTAACTAAATATTAACTAAATATTTTTAGCTAAATATTCTCTATCATCTGACGTAGAATTTTTGAAAATATTTTGTAATTTTTTTTTAATCGACAATTAAAGACAATTTTTTTTTCGAAAAAATTGCAACTTTTTTCCAAACCATATTTCAAGAAAAATCAATATTTTAAAAAATCCCTACGTCAGATGATAATCATAACAGTGTAAATAATGTCACTTTTTTTTAGTTTGCATAGATTAAACCATTTTGCAATCGTGTTTGAAATCGTGTACACTTGAGCCCGTCTTATGGAAAGTGTTTCCATAATTTCCGTAATTGGATCAGGAAGCCGCCATTTTGTTGTTCAAACAAGATGAAAAAATTATTTTTTACACTAGAAAAGATATATAATAAAATCCTTAAATTGGTTTTTCAATCAACTTATTCATTTTTCTCCAAAAAATTCAAGTTAAAATTGATTTTTGAATGCCAAAAGTTCCTGCCTTAACACTTTACATATTTTTTTTATTTTAAGATTCCTGAGTAGTCACCACAACCATATTAAATCGTAACATCAGAAGCGAGAAATAATATGTTAATTTTTGTTGCGTGCTATTTGTAGAATAGAGACAATTTTAACAAAACAAAATGATGAGATCGTTTTATAACAATTGTAGAAATGGATGAAAGCTATCCTTATCCCTCCTGATAGTCAATAATCACAAAAAGTGATAAAAGGCATGTGAAAAGTACTTTTTGAGTTATAAATAAGATTTGAAAGTTACAGTATTACCGGCATTAGCATTAAAAAAACAATGACTAAAATCTTTTAAATGTTGTTCATGATCTTGATAACATTTGTTAACATCAAGATCACTGGAGAGGTTGTTCCTCTTATTTTCACTTTTACGTAAAAATAAATTTTTAATACAAAAATAAGAGGAACAATCTTTAATGGTCTTGATCTTAATAAATGTTATCAAGATCATAACACTGAACAATATTCAAAAGATTTTAGCCATCGTTTAGGCACCTTGAGTAATACTAATGCCGGCGATACTATAACTTTCAAGCCTTAAATCAAAAAGTACTTCATGAAAACATATTTTATTATAGTGTTTTGAAAAGCTCTCGAGAGAAGTAAGTTACAAGAATATGTAATGAAAAATAGGTGTTTCCACATTAAAAAAATAGAAAGTAACCTTGCTCTAATCTTGAAAACGCCATCCAAGGTTAAATCAAAGATACCACCTTATGTCCTTCTGAAAGACCCAAAACTTTTGTCTGAAACATTTTTTTCTAAAATGCACTATTCAAAAGATATTTGAAATAATCGATTAAAATGGGATACCCCGTATATAGCGTTTTCGAACCGAGTCGGTTTGCACCAACCTGAACTAGATTAATGATGTCGTATGCTTCACTATTGGTTGACACGTTACATGCTCAATACTATAAAATGTCATTAATCCAAACCAGGTCGGTGCAAACTCACTCGAGTCTAAAACGCTAATAGCAGAGAGCTTCTCTCTACTGAAAGTATACTTACTTTTGTAAATTTCGGATATGTGAAGTTAGCATCCCAACTATAGTACTCAGAAGTTCTGATTAAAGTTCCCATTTCCTTTTGACGAAACAAAGAGTTCCCTATAGTATATTTTATAATAAGAGTTCCGCTTAATAACCATATTTTAATAATTTTTTAAAAATGGGGTGCTAACTTTTTATCGAAAATCGGGATCGAATAATTTGAGTGGTTAAATAGCTCCATTTCGTGAATATCAATATCTAGAGATCCTGATGCATAAAAAAAATTTCAAAAAATTAAAAATTAAAAATTTTTTAAAAATTAATTTTTAGATACAACAGTTGTGATTAAAGTTCCCGCTTTCTTTTAACAAAGCGAAGAATTCTCTGTAGATTTTAACGCGAGATTCGCTTAATAACCATTTTTTAATAATTTAAAAAAAATGAGGGTGCTAACTTCTTATCGAAATTCAAGATCAAATAATTCTGAGCAGCTTAATAGTTTTATTTTATAAATATTTAGAATTTCTGATGCATAAGAGACAAATCTGATCAATAAAAAAAAATTTTTTTGAAAATTTTCGAGGACCCAACAAATGTTACGTATTTCGCAAAACGTTGGTCCAATCGCTTTGAGCCCTAATACTTTTTGAATTCGTCAAGAACTGTCTAGAATTCCAATCAGAACTACTTGGTACTCTCAACAAATTTTGAATGGCTCAATTAGGGTCAAAGCGATTGGACCAACGTTTTGTGAGATACGTAACATTTGTTGGGTTCACAAAAATTTTCAAAAAACTTTTTTTCTTTTTTATCGATTTGATTTATCTCTTATATATAAGAAATTCTAGATATTAATAAAATAAAGCCGCTCAGAACTATTCAAACTTAAATTTCGACAAAAAGTTAACAACCCAAAGCGAATCTCGCGTTAAAAATCACAGAACACTTCGTTAAAAGGAAGCAGGAACTCTAATCAGAATTATTGTATCTAAAAATTAATATTTCAAAAATTTTTTTTTTTTCCATTTTTCGAAATTTTTGTTATACATCAGGAACTCTAGATATTGACGAAATGAAGCTATTAAATCGCTCAGATCTTGATTTTCGATAAGAAGTTAGCAATTCATTTTTATTAAATTCTTAAAAAATGATTATTAAGCGGAACTCTTGTTCTAAATTATAGGGAACTCTCTTCGTCTCGTCAAAAGGAAGTAAGAACTCTAATCAGAACTCCTGACTATAGTTGGGATGCTAACTTCATATACCCCACTGACAAATAAACCTACCTTTCCGTGAGTCTCCGAATTTAAACTTGGTACGTTTGTAGACAAAAATAATAAATACGTATTTTTTTATATTGGTAATGGTACAGTTTTAATGGTACAAATTATCCTTATAGTGATAAGCACGAGTACCTAATTTCTTGCATTTTAGCTCACTCTATTACAGCTACTTTTAAATTTTAAAGATGATACGAGGCTTTCATGTTTCCTGAAAGCAAATCCAAATAATAAAAAATTGAGAATTCAAAATAACAGACCCAATATGGCGACTTGCTGAAAAAGAAATAATTATATATCGGTCTTTGAATCCAGGAATAACCAACGAGGAGGTGGGAAGAGTCTATCCCCATTTCGTTTTTTTTTCTTATTTTTTATTTTTATATTTTTATATTATTATTATATTTTTATATTTTTTTTGTTTTAATAATTTTTTTATATTTTTATAATATTTCTATTTTTTGTTTACAGTTACGCCACTTCTTACCTACGTCGGAAAAGTGTCGGATAATATCGGATATCGGATATTTCTCGAATATCCAGTGCATCTCTACAAGAAATTAAGTACTCGTGCTTATCACTAGAGTAGTTTGCACCTTTAATCCTGCATTGCCAATATAAAAAAATACGTATCTATTATTTTCGTCTGCTCTACAAATATACTAAGTTTTATTAAATTCGGCGAAACGCGAAAAGATAGGTTTACTTGTGAAACGAAACCACTCGCAAGAAAATTCATTAAATGATTTTAAAGTTTAAATGTTAACGCAAAAATTTCTGAAGAATAAAATTGTTTAAAAAAATAATTTTACATAAAACAGAATTCATTTTTTCTACTTATGCAAATCTCCAAATATTGATAATAAAAATCGGTTCATATTATTAGATAGATTTGTATTATTTTATTATTATTTTCTTAACATTCTTACATTTGTTGTAGAAACTTTTTAAGTAAAGGATTTTTTTATATTCTGCAATTCTCTTATAAAAATCGTTCTCCACAACCATCTATTACAGATAATTTGAGTGATTAATATCCACCAAGAATCCATCTATAGATGATTGTGAACAATGTGATTTTTATTAAAAAAAATTACAGAAAAGATAATTTAATTAAAAAGAAAAAGATAATTTAAAAGTGTCTACGTAAAAGAAGGCGTAGAGTTTTAAATTGACAAAGAAAGATTTTAAAATAATTTGTATGCAAAAAGATTATAGGCTTTTTATGTAAACTATAATCTAAAACGATTTTTGATAAGTTTTATTCCTTGTCGAAAATTTCTTAAAAGGAAAACGGATTCTAATCTAATCCGCGCAGAAGAAATATAATTTTTAATGCAAAAAAAAATTTTTTCGTATCATTACGATGCGCGAAAATATTGCACATTAACGATGAAAATATAGTAACGGCGCGGTGTGAAGCGCTCATTACCAGGCACGTGCGCCTGTTTAAATGACAGCACTGATTATACTAACTTGATAATAACTGCTTCATTGAATATTGTAGAAAAAAAACGGCTCAAAACTTTTAGGCTCAATTTTTTATTTAAAAAAAAACGCTTTTAATCTTTTTGCTTACTGGACGCTGTTTAAGATATACCCTATAAATCTATCATATGTATACTTACAAAACCTCCAGGTTTCTCTGTTCCTTGCTCCAGTTCTTTGATCTTGTTTTCCGCATGCTGAAGTTTCGCTTCAGCTTCTTGTCTACTAGCTATAGCTTCCTCTAACTTTTGCATCACTTCTACTAATCGGCGTTCTTCCTCGGCCCGTGATTTTTCGACTAGGATATCGATCAACGGTTGAACATCAATCTGGAAGCGTTTTGTCGCGCTGAAATCCGGGTCACAGCCTGAACGATGCAACACAATTTGCGATATACATTCCTCTATCAATTTATAATATGCCGGTCTAAAAAAATGAGAAAATAAAAAATAAGAAAATAAAGAGTTAGTTAATAAGAATAATAAACAAATATACATATTAATTAAATCGCAATAATAAAAGTAAATGCGACTGTACAAGTGTATATACTTACCGAACCAGAGCATCATCTCGAATAAATAAAAGATGTTGAAGTATTGATAGAAAGTATGGCTCGGCGGAAGTATCCATTACCATATTTTTAACTACTTCAAAACAATCGTTAACATCGTCTAATTCTAAACGTACATTGTCAAATCTCTGTACAAATTCCTCGTAATCCTCCTCTTTGTGATCATTAAAAATCTTCAAATGCGTAGCCAAGTCTTCCGACTCATCTTTCTCTAACATTTCGAGAATATCGGCTAAACCTACTCGCATTACCTCGTTCCTAAGATGTAAGCGAAAATCTAGATCCTCCGCGGATGATATTATCGAATTTATGAGTTGAAGACATACTACCTGTAATATGAAAGTAATATAAAAATAAAAATAAATTTTATATCAAATTACTTAGTTTTTCGTTTTTATCAAATAAAAAAATCACATAATAACTCGTCAAAGATTTTTAGGATGTATTACAATAAATAATACAAGAATTTGTTGTTAAATAAATTTGATTAGTTTGTTTACTTAATTTATAATAATTTATACAAATATAATATTATATTAATTTAACAATGCAACGAACTTATTATATTTTAATTGTACATATAGAAAAAATTAATATTTCTAGAGTAAGATAGCGTTACATTTTTCATTTGATTTTCTATCATAAAAACTTATTTATACAATGATTAAAATCTTACACACAAATCTAATAAAAAATAAAGAAATAAACAAAACATACCCTTAAATTTTCGTTCTTCTTGTTCATCAAACCCTGTACGATTGGCAGAAATCTTTCACGACCTTTGAATTCGCCATTCATAGTAACAGCATCTAAAACCTTTTTGTGACTATCAAAGGATATGAGGCACACCGCGCCTAGTAACTTTACAGCTTCGGACATTACAGACGGTTTCGTCGGCTCCAATGACCTGGCCACAATGGTAAGGGCCTCGTGATGAGCCAACATCTCCTTTATACCAACGGTATTATTCATAATAGCCTTTAAACAGCGAATACATTCGTATTGTATTCGCTCATAACGGTTGTCACTAAAGGAAAACAAATTTTTCATTAATTAATAAAGAATAACATGAATTTTGAATTTTAATAAATTCATAAGCAGCACAAGAGTCTTATAATAAATTCTGCTATAAGCATCATGCAAAACTGAAATGATAATAAAGTGAAAATTAAGAATAGTTTGCTAATTGAGCAGCGTAAATAAAGTAATTCTCAAATTAAATTCTTTCGCAGTATATGAAAATCTTAGAAAATTAAACTGTTTATAATATTACTAGTAAAACTTCGTTCGTATACAATATAAGCAGTTAAGAAATCAACGTGATAAATATCATTAAAAAACGAATTTTAAGCGAATAGTACTTTTACATGAATTACCTATCGTAATATATGAAGGCACTGGAATAGAATAATACCAATGTTAGAATAAGTTCTGCATTCAAATTGCTATGGGACACTTTATTCGAACACACATACTCTCGGAACTCACTTACTTTCGATAACATTCATTGAGAGTAGCCAGAACCTGCTTGAGACCCTTGGTGCCAAATTCCTGTACCCAGCTGAGCGGATTGTTAGTAAGCGCGATCCTGAGAGACTCAATGCAATTGTAGATCTTATTGACGCTCAAATCAGGCTGCGCCAGGTACTGTATGTAGTCTGCCGGTTTGTCGAATTTTGATCGATTCTCCTGTATGCTACCTTTGTAATGCAAAACCAGCATCTCCTTCTTCTTCGACTCCGATTGCTGACGCAATGGTTCCTTCTTTTCTTCTGTTAGATTCATATTAGCCTAAATACAAAAATAGTAATGGTAAAACTTCTACTATTTATTAGATATCATTCCATACACAATACCTCATTACTTAATAATTACTGAATACTGTGCGTTCTATCGATATATACACATAAAGTGAAAAATATTAACAAATCAAATTCTTATAAAATTCTATAATTTTAATAAATATATAAATTTAATATCAAATAAACAAGAACTCATGCCAAGTATCTCTTGCTAATAATAATAGTTAAATAATACGATCCATATCATTAATGATAAAACTATATGTTTTCAACTTTTAATAGTCATCCTCGGTGTGACATAAAATAAATTATAAAGTTATCAAAGAAGACGAAACAAATTTTATAACAATATGTTTTGTCATCTTTGTAATAACTTTGTAGTTTTCTTAACATGTACAGTTGTTTAACTTTAAAATACTTATAGTAATTTTTACATTTGTTTAACTTTATAATACTTTGTAATTTTTTAAACGTATACAAATCATAATAATATTTCTTAAGTTGATCTGTGCTTAAAGGCGAGTTGATCGTAATTGGAATATACATAATCGGATTGGATATTTGAATTCGCGAAGTGTGATGAAGAATATCTTATGGCATTCTATTTTATAGTAAGTAACAATATGTTTTGTGATTTTGATAACTTTGTAACTTATTTTATGTAACACTGAAGGTGATCTTATTAAATGTCAAAATGTGGTTTTATAACTATTGATATGGATCATATTATTTAATTGTATTGTTAGCAAAAGATACCTATTAGAAAAGATACCTATACAAAAGATAAGCTATTGGAACATGTAAAATATATAATATGTGCGACGTGTACGCACCAGCATTTCCTCGAATCTATCGTTCACCGTTTCTTCGTCCATCCTTTCGATGATATAACGCTGTTGCTCGATCTCGTTGATATCGTCACCGGAGTGTGGCCTGGGCATGGTGTTACTGCCCGAATAGCCGCGCGACCCACTCCCGCGTACGGATTTCTTCGGTCGGCCGAACCATGTGTCCAACTGCAATAATTTTAATTTCGTATTGCAACATAATTTTAACACATATTTCAGTTTATCAGAGATTAAATCCTTAAATAATCAAAAGAAATTGGAAAAAATAAGAGCACTAGGAGTCAGGCGCAGAAGACGTCGCGCAAATAATATACCTATAAAGCGTAAAACTTCTTTATTCTATCACTTTTGAGCCTTCCTCAGAGACAACAAACTAACATATATAAACTGTAAATAAAAGTTATCCTGTCATAGTGAGCACCTTTACATCGAGAATTTAAATGCCAGAATTAAATCCAAAAAAGTGAAAGAAAAAGAAAAACGGACGAAAATAAAGAAATATTGGAAATATAAGAATAGAGACTATGGAAAACTAATTTATCAAAAAACTTTAGAATTATAATTAATTATCCCGAAAATAAGAATGCTCACCGTGATCACAAAGCACCATATCGCAAACATTACTATTGATGATTCAAAAACGAAATTATTCTTTCCAATTTTTTTTTATTTATAAGGAGTCTTTATTAGTTTGATTTGTTACGGATCCTTAAATAATATCATAATCAATCTGCACTTCAATTTGGTAAAGAAAAAGCTCTCTTCGAAGTAGAATATCACTTTCACTATAACTATAATTATAAATAAAGAATTCATACCAGGATAATAAAATAAAAACTTCTGATCGACATAAAAAACAAATTTTAAATATTAGAAAGTGGCTTTAATTGTTACAAAGGTTAAATGAAAAGGAGCATACAGCCACACTTTTAAATACCTAGCGCCTTCACAGTCCTAGTGTTAAGATGTTGAACTACTATCCAATATACATTCACAATTAAATTGAATTAATATTTCAGAATATAATTAGTTCAACATCAAATAATAATATTATTTTTCGCAATAAGTTTATTACAGTTTTTTAATATTTGGGTGAATTTGGGGGGATTATCAGAATGATTGTGTGAATCCGATGATTTATCGGCTCTCAATTAATTCTGAAATATTAATTCAATTTAATTGAATGTATATTGGATAGTAGTTCAACATCTTAACACTAGGACCGGGAAGGCGCTAGGTATTTAAAAGTGTGGCTGTATGCTCCTTTTCATTTAACCTTTATAAAAAACAAAGTTTATTAAATGTTATAGAACCCATTCATTGAAAATCCAATTTTTTAATCTGTGAGAACAAATATTTTATGTGTGGAATATGTGAGAGCCTTGGGACTCAAAGATCTATAGAAGTTTTGAGTTTCAGAATCAATAAAACCAATAACCCGCAAAAGGTAACATCGATATCAATTCAATAAGTCTGGCTTCAATAAGTCGAATCGAGTGCAAATGAGTCGATTGACAATGAGTCGCGCAATAGTTCTGATAAAATTGCATTCCGATATCCGAGTAACTCACTGTAAATATTTTCCTTTAACGGAACGGATTCGCGTTTTACAATGCTATACTGTCCGAACAATTCATGCTCGCTCATGGTTTAGCGACATGCTCAGAAGCACATTCCATTTTTTTTTCAAGATGACGCAAAATCGTGCGCTGCAAAGCTGGAATTATTCCATCCGCTTAACGCGAGATAACTGGATACATGTTTACGCGATGCGCAGCGCATTTGGACGCAAAGACGTTGCGAAAGAAAGCGATCGAGAGATTTACGGCACGTATCGTCTTCTTTATCGGTTAAATCAAACTTCGAAGATTGAACCGCTCCAAAATTCGAAACTTTATCAGGACGACCGGAGGCTACGAATAGTAATAGGTACGCAGGATGTGACTCATGTAGCACAAAGTAGCACGCGCGTGTGAAATTAATTGCTATGATTATAGATTCTTCGGCTATCCGAGTATTAGATGATACAGCTGAATAACGACAACTATATCCACATAGACCATGATTAGATAGTTCACATAGCATCTTTCGGTTATAGTAAATGTTAACGTCTCTCATATGCAAGAAGTAAAAAAAAACTTCTATTGTTAAAGTAATAATAAGTTGCACGTAAACGTGGGATCTTGGTGGGATCTTATACGCAGTAGGTTTTCGCACTGCGTAGAAAATTATTTCATTGGCGAGCCCTAGCAGCAACACAATTATACAATATTAATGATTGTAGAGGATGCAAAAGTCGTAATTTTCATTTGTATAATGAATAATAACACGTAATCTTAAGGATAACTTCGCAAAATGAAATTAATTGCTGACAAATAGTTATTAATATTGTGCAAAAACTTAAAACGATAAGTGAATAATGCAGTCAGGTATAAAAAGAAAAGAGCCTCTACATTAATTTTAATTATTATATTTTTTATAATTATTTAGAATAGAAAAGTTATGATGATCTTGACATGTTGTCAAGGTCACAATCCTAAACGACTTCCAGTATATTTTAGCCGTCGCTCGTTATTTATTAAAAAGTTATTAACAAAAAAAGTTCTTCTGTTTACTTCTAAATCATAAAAAAAATTCTGCTATATAAAACAAAAATTCTCTGCTTTAAAATAAATAAATTTCCTGTTTTAAAAACAAAACTTTTTTTCAAAAATTTAATTTCTATATAATTTTCTAAATTCTTTTTTAAAGCAAAAAATTTGTAATTTTGTAACGATTTTCCACGCGAAACAAGATCCACTCTCCCCTCCTGTTACAAGGCATATATTGTAACTTTCTACTCCATCTCTCCCTTACCTCAGGACATACGACTTTACATACAAAGCGACTTCCGCCCCGCCTGCATCTCCCCTGCATCGGGACATGCGACTTTCCACGCGAAGCGAGAAAGATCCAGAGGTCCACCTCTCCTCCTATCTCGGGATTTAATTGTTAATATTATAGCAAAAATAAGATGTCAAACTTTTCTTGTTAACTTTTAAGCGAAGATTACCAGCTAAAACCTATTGGAAGTCACTCAGAATCATGATCTTGACAACATATGTCAAGATCAACATCATCGGAGCTGGGTCCCCTTTTATCGATATTTACCGTAAATCAAATTAAGATTAACACACGATTGAGTCATTCATGATGTGTCCATGAGCATTCTTTTTCTCTTGAAATATTACAAACACCTGGCTAAATAATAATTTATGTTTCCAACAATTGACAGATTGAAGGACTCTTTATATACAAAATAAATAATAATAAATAAAGGGCAAAGTAAGAGTCAACACATTTCTTTAAAAATTCACACCATTAGAAGAATTTATTACAATCAAAGAGAAGTAAAATTACATAATGCAAAAATAAAACGTTACAAGTTTCGGCTACTGGATGGAGCCCTCTTCAAACATTAAACATATCAAAAAACAGTAGTACAATTGTCGCAAATGTTCGCATATACATAATATTCATAGTTCAGATGAGTCTTGATGTAGAACTCGACATTATTCACGTATAATTAAACAGTCAAAAGTGTATCATATCTCTTGGAAAGATCTAGTTAATAAAATAAAAGTAAAAAGACTTCTTACGAAAAAATGAAACGCAAATAAATTAACATACCGGAATTCTAATAAAGAATAAAAACTCACCAAAACATGTGTAAATTACTCAACCAAGTGTGTCCATATAAGTGTAGGAAATAGCCATTGGAATATAAAAAGACAAGCGAAACACAGACGTAAAAGGCGGACATTGTGTGTTGATTGTTATGTACGCTCGCTGACACGGATCAACACAGACTGAGAAAAGAGACGGACCGTACAGTATCAGAAAGTTAAACTTTATTTACAATAGATATGTACAATAGATATGCCTTATGAAAACCTTCGGTATCAGTTTGTAAATTCAAACTATTTCTCTGCTTCTTAATATTGAGCATCTCGGAAATTAAGCGTTTCCTATAGCAAGGCTCTTCATCTAAAATTTTAACCTTATGGAAATCATGATTGTACTGCAGCCTGTCCGTTATTACAGAACGGACAGAAGTATTATGTCTAATATGATTACGATGTTCTGTAATTCTAATTTTTAATTGTCTGCCCGTCTGTCCAATCTACGACGCATCACAATTATTACACGATATCTTATAGACTATGTTACGTCCGAATTGAGGTTTTTATTTCTCAATTTTATATTTCCTGTTTTGGAGTCAATGCATTTAAGCAATTTACCCCGGGGTTTGGAGATCAAGTGTGCGGTTAGGATTGTTCGGTGGGGAGAGTGGGATAATTGCTCGGGAGGGTAACCTTGAAGTCGGTGCCAAAAAGCTCACGAAGCTTGTAGGCTAGTTTTCGTGGATCACCCCTTTGAATATTTCGGTAATCAGGAAATCGAGGAGTGATCTCCAACGGTTGGAGGGAATACCTGTTTTCGTTAGGTAAGCTTACCGGTTTTTTTTTGTCTAATAATTGTGCCAATTTCTGGAAATAAGGGAAAGGATCGTGGTTTGAATCAATAGCTGTTTTGATACCTCAATCTCTTCTCTTGTTGTCTACATCCGCCTTTGGTAGGCATGGAGATAACGCGAAAGAATTATCGTTATTCCGAAAAATTGTCGTTAGACGGGGGCCACGCTATTGGCAGCGACAGTCGTGACAACCCTTCGGATTTTGACTCTCTTTTGAGGAACTGTTATTAGACGAGGGGCCACGCTATTGGCAGCGACTGGTCACAACGATTCCTCAAAATAACGAACTCTCCGCAGAACAGTATTAGACGGGGGCCACGCTATTGGCAGCGACAGTCACAACGTTTCTCGGATACTCGTATATCTTAATGAATTTGAAGTAGAGGAGAGATCTAGGTTTCAGCCGAATTGTTTTAATATAGTCGTTTAATAAAAAAAAATGGTTACAAACGTAGGAATAAGTTCCGGAGGTTAGCGCGAGGATAGCTCTTACCCACTTCCAGAATAATTTTTTACTTTCGCTCTTAGTTTTTCTCTCTACGCGTTTTTGCCTTCGGCAGCTCCTTTTATACTAAAAAATGAGCATGGGAGTGTCCTTTCAGGACCAATCAGTACTCTTTGAAATTTGGTAGGACCTATGCCCGCGCTTGTT